GCTGTGGCCTGGTCCTGAGCGTGGCCTGGTCCCGAGCTGTGGCCTGGTCCCGAGCATGGCTTGGTCCCGAGCTGTGGCCTGGTCCCGAGCGTGGCCTGGTCCCGAGCTGTGGCCTGGTCCTGAGCTGTGGCCTGGTCCCGATGGTGGCCTGGTCTCGATGGTGGCCTGGTCCTGAGCTGTGGCCTGGTCCTGAGCTGTGGCCTGGTCCCGAGCCGTGGCCTGGTCCCAATGGTGGCCTGGTCCTGAGCTGTGGCCTGGTCCTGAGCTGTGGCCTGGTCCCGAGCCGTGGCCTGGTCCCGATGGTGGCCTGGTCCTGAGCTGTGGCCTGGTCCCAATGGTGGCCTGGTCCCGAGCCGTGGCCTGGTCCTGAGCCGTGGCCTGGTCTCGAGCTGTGGCCTGGTCCCCAGCGGCCCCAGCGCTGTCTGTGCTGATGCAGCCATGGAGCACGGGAAGCAAACTGCTTCACTCTGTGGGTCACGGACATGGTGGCCCCAAGGCCTTTCTCTAATGCTCTTATTTCATTTCAGAAACACGAGGATGAAAGTGAAGCCTGGCTCCACAGACAGGTAACTATTCCACGAGTGAGTTCCCACACTGGGGGCGTTTGCATCTCACAATGACCCGGGGGGAGCCCCAAGCAGACGCTAGGCGTGCGTGGCCCTGGTGAGAGCGGCCGTCTGCCACCCTGCTCCCTCCGTGGCCCTCGCACTCCTGGAAGGCGGGCTCCAAGGAGGATGCTTGAACGTCGCTGCTCTTGACAGCCTACAACGTGTGGTGAGACCTCAGGTCTCCGGTACATGATGCCCTGCGGGTGAAGGAAAAATGGTGAGTTTCCCAGAAGAAAAGGAAACATGGGCAATAGTTCTGTTTTCTCCACGTGGTCCCGTGGGGTCTCATTTGCAGCGGATGCCGCCAGGGTTCAGCATGAGCCTCCCAGGGACGAGACGTCAACCCCACTCCCGGCTTCCCGTCTCTGACCCAGATAAAAAGTGCCCTCAGAGAGGCTCTGGGAATTGGAGATCACAGGAGGTCAGGGAGGCCTACAGTTACTCACTCCATGACCAAAAATATGTTATATAATAAAAGGCTAATATGCAAATCAAACGAACGGCAGAAGGACCAGTCGCTATGATGTGCACTGACTACCAGGGGGCAGACGCTTAAGGCAGGAGCTGCCCCCTGGTGGTCAGTACGCTCCCACAGGGGGAGCACTGCTTAGCCAGAAGCTGGGCTAACCGCTAGCAAGTGCAGCAGGGGTGGCAGGAGCCTCTCCCACCTCTGTGGCAGCACTAAGGATGTCTGACTGATGGCTTGGGCCTGCTCCCCTTGGATGTTGTCAGTCAGACATCCCCCAAGGGCTCCTGGACTGCAAGAGGGCACAGGCTGGGCTGAGAGAGCCCCCCCCCCGAGTGCACAAATTTTGTGCACCGTGCCTCTAGTGTGTGTGTGTGTGTGTGTGTGTGTATATATATATTAAATATATATGTATATTTAATAT